TCGGAATCCTATTCCTGGCCATGGCCCCCCCAATACGCCGCTCAATATCCATTTATTCCTCCACTCTGCCCACGCCCCCAGAGTCCCAAATGGGGTGCTTTCCTGGCTAAGCTGACAGATGCCCCATCGTCGTCAGCCAATGCTGGGCGACGGCACGTTTGCGCCAGGAACACGACGCCTTGGGGAGCCACTTTCCCTCCGGTCTCTCCAGCTCGTTCAGGCCATGGCTGATGTCGTTGCTGTTTCCATCCAGTCTCTTCTCCGTTCTCTTGCCCTGGTCGTTGTTTATTCTCAGCCCCTCCACGACGTAAGAGAGTCCCCATCGTCTTCATCTATCAACTAATCTAAGTATGTGAGAAAACACCGCGCCGGGCCTATTTCCTCTTGAATTTGTTTTGTACCTACCTATCCTGATCTAGTATAAGGGGACCATCCACGCCCAACCCAACCTGCATGCCATCCATCCTCATCTGCTCATTCCCTTCCTGTTGCCTCGACCCCTCACCCATCCCTCTGCATCTCAAAAGGGAAAACGATACATCTGACCTGCATCGTCCTGCCTTCCCTTGCCTGGACTCAACACCACAATACTGCACAGTAGAGAAGCCGTCCTGTACCCTGCTTCCGGCTGGGCTTCTGTTATCGTTCTAGTCCCTTACTCACGTGTCCTGCACCACCTCCCTCATCCAATCTGGAGCACAGGGTAGCAGTTCTCGACCCTTGAGGCCACTGCAGTCTACGGATACACAAAGATACATTCGCACGAGAGGCTCACAACTACGCTACCGCTGCGCCAAGCTCCAACCTTCCACACACCCACCCTCCATCACGCAAACTACGCACCAAGGGCACCCACCTTTCGGGCAGAGGCATCCCAGTTCCCGCCGGCTCGGACTGGACTGCAGCCATCGCTGGGCTGCTTTATCCGTAGGCGGCGTCCACCTTGTCTCTCTCGCTTCGAGCGTGACCGACTTATTATTCCTCTCCCCTGACCTACTTGTCTTAGAACTTGGGTCTCGGAAACCGTCATACACATCCTACACGCTCGTTTCTCAACCTGCCCAGGATTCTGGCCATCTTCCTCTGCGCAAGTTAGAGTCGCACAGCAATACACCCTGGCCAGAGATCTTCGCTTGACCTGCCTGCTACGTTGATCCTCGGGCTGCGCTTGCGCAGTTAGTTTTGAAAGGCCCGGATCTCCCTCCGCAACCAGATGGTCAACATTTATCCTTCCACTCTCCGCACTTTACCTTCGACCGGTTACTCTTGAACTCTGGAAGTTTTGCCCACCGTTTTACGCTCTATTTCACCAAGAAAACTTGCGACAAAATGGCCGCTGCCGTAGCTGAACACCCACGTTTCTTTCCTTCGCATCATGATGCGCTGAGCCACGATGATTTCGAAACAGCTTCGATCCGCTCTGCCGCGCCGTCTTATTGTAAGTTGACTCTTGTCACGAGCCATCCTTATGTGGGACGTTGGGATGGCTTCTTTGCTTTCGCACGGGACGCCATGCCGGCACCTGACATGCTCGAGCTTCACCGACAAAGACATGTCGCAGTATACCTCGAAATGGAAGTGGTCGAGCTAACACCAAACAATAGTCTCAGACGCGCCCTCTTACCACTCGATCGCTCCGCATCCCGAGCCTATTCCTCCTTACTCCCCGCCTATCAACAACAACAATGTGAACCGCACGGCCGCTGGCTCCACTCAACACCCAACGTCCCTGCTTCCTGCCGTCCCGGCCCCGAGCCGTTCCGGGAACTCGACGCCCCAACCCCACCGAACCACCGGCCTGCCCCCGATTCCTCCGGCGCCGCCCAGCGCAGCCCCACGACTCGATCAGTTCCGCATTCCCACGTGGTCAACGGTGCACACAAATCCGACGCTGAACAACGTCGCCCGAAGACGCATGAACCAAGGTGCCGATCCCGTTGCCCACCTCCGTCGCTTTATGTCTGAGCGAATGGCCGAGGAGGAGGCGGCCCAGCGAGCTCGGGACTTCCGACCGCTCGAGGACCCCTACTTGGTCGGCGAGGAGGCCGCTGCAAGTGCTCGCAGGGAGAGACTTGCACGCGAGTCTGGTGAGGATATTCTCTGGGACGAGGATCGCCGTTGGAACCGCTTTCTCGGTAAGTCTTGGTCTTTTCTCACTATCTGTTTCTTTCAGAGTGTAAACATGGCTCGCTAACATTCCGGCAGCGCAAATGCAAACTTGGGAGGACCGCGATCGCAGTAGTTGGAGAAATCTGCGTCAGCCTCCGCCAGCACAGCGCAAGAAGCTGACCCGCCGCCTTGCAGGGCGTCTTTGGTAGACCGCTTGACGCGACCACATTTTGATGCGCATATGACATGACTGAAAAACCAAGGGTTTGTCATGTATCTGGAAAAAGGAGTCTGTCGTTTTTTGCTCTCTCTCTCTCTTATCATTCATCCATCGGCGTCTCTGCATAGAGCATAGGGAAGCCGATGATTCCTCCTAGAAAGGAGATGATTTCCACTCAGGCATTTTCTGTTTTGGTTTTGGGTACAGGCCAAGGCATTTGAGCCTTGTTTTCTTTCTTTCACGACATTCGTCTTGCCTAAGGTCTTGATCCGGGCACGGTAGGGTAGATTTTCAACAATTTTCGGCATCGAACCCAGATTTCAGATGCATTCAAGGAAGGATTCGGGAAGGCCGAAGACATGCTGCCTACCTTAGCTTTATTGATTTTCTTCATATGGACAGTAGGAACATTTAGGCCTAGATTCCTGACATTCAGGATACACGGAACCAAATTGAAGAAGATATTTCATCTACGTCTGGAACCGTGCTACAGATGACTTGGTACTCCTTTGTGATGGTTTGTCTCTTGACTTTGATTACCAGGTGAAAACATTCATCCAGTCTCGCTTCCCTCGCGAGAATTCTCACACGAGCCTAGTTTAATTTCCATAAGACAAATGAAGCGCTCACGCTTGGAGGATACACTATCTAAGAGTTGGTAAAAGGCCGTTCTTGCGAGAAGACGGTTGAGTTTGTGCCCCGCGTCATGGTGACTATTCTAAGTGCGAAAGATATACATGTGGCTTAACACAATGTCTCTTGAGCCGGCTTGCTTCTATTCCCTGCGGTCAAATCTCCTGGAACCAGCTCTCAATCCCACGCTGTATTCTGATTGTCCGGCGAGGGGCAACTGGATCTCTGATTTACTCACAGCCCGAGTTGAGAACTTTGCCGCTTCGTCGGGACAGTGAAGCCGTCCAAGTTAATAAGGTGGCACTAGTTGGTTCTAGACAGGAGGTGGAGGAAAGTTGTGAGATGTTGATACTCAAGTCTTTCCAAGAACACATAAATGCTGTCTAGGTACCATCACTCCAATCGCGATTCTTGGTGTGAATAAAAGAAGGAAACCCTCCCAAACCTGTCAGCTTTACAAGACCTCGGCGCTTTTGCAAGTCTGACGAACGGAACATGAGTAAGCGCCTCCTGATCGTCGACGAGGTCTACGAGGATGTATCGAAGCCTACAACGCAACAGCGGTCATTCACTCGGCGGTAACGTATAAAAAAGATGGTTCAAGGTCGTCAATGTGCCCGAACACGCAGGTCAAAATCCATTTTTCTCAAGAGTATCTTGAGCACCAAGCGAGATCCCGACAAGAGTTATAATTCATCGACATGCGTGTTGGACACACATCGACGCTTTCCTGCCGAATTATCAAGACCACGCGGAATACACCCGGTCCATTCGTCCAGGCCCTCCCATACCCCCTAAGAGCACGACCGCGTGTTACGTACCTCGCGTATATTCAACCCATTTCCTCCACCAGAATACACAACAAGAGACCCCCAGACCCTCCATATACCCCCTGGAATCCATTCTTGTCACCAAACAGCAGGCGCCCCCCTCGGGGGGTCAGGTCAAAATTGGCTGGGTGGTGGAGTGGTTCGAGTCCACAAACAGCCTAATCGGTGAAGGCTTAGAGGTCCCGTGTTCGAGTCCCAGCATGTGTACCTAGAGATGTAGCCCCCGTTCGCCACCGGAAGGGGGGGGGGGGTAATCTTTTGCTATTATGGTCAATCAAGTCTTCTTCTTTGGTATTGGCTCTCGGTGTTTACGATGGTCAGAGAAGTAAGCTGCGATCTGTGTCCTCTGGCTAGATGAGGAAGTCGCGGGCGATGACACTGGTAACGGGCTTTACTTGTTGGCACTCACTATTGTTGTTGTCGCAAATTTTGGGCCTTCGCTGGGAAGGTCCGTCAAGGCACGAAGGGATAACTAAAGCAAGACCTTTCGCGAGAGATGATGCTTTAAAAGTCTCTCGGTCACTATTGCACAACATTCCCATTTACACGCCGAGCCCACTGTCGAGCTCACGATCATAGCCAGGGGAATAAGCTGAGAGTCGGTATGATATCAAGCTGAGGCTGCGATACGAGGTCGATTATGCTAGACCTCGAGAGCTTTGTGTTGCACAGAGTTTCTCTGCTGGGGAAGTAGTGTAGAGACAGTTGCCGACGTTGATACCATACTGCACATGGCTTTCCCACGGGAGCTTTGGGGTGACGGAACAATAGGAATTCATGCCTCCTTCTCATCATAATGCCGAGCTACGTTGCTGCTCGGTCTATACCAGACAGCCGAACTCCATGCACTTACTCGCGGCTCCACCACAGATTGGTCTGGCACATATGCCACTCATCACAGACGACGGAAGCAAGTTGCGTTCGAAAAAATTCAAAGATACTGAACCCGGATGCCTATCATACCTTCCACAGCTCCCGAGACCATCTTCTAGCCCATCATACATAAAATCTACACGAGGGTCCTATTGTAACGCCGTGCCATATGCTGGTTTGGTCCAGAAACCACCCGTACACCTTCTCTTTTGATGTTTCTTCAACCTGACGTCCGGCGGTTTCCTGGCTTAATGTACAGTTTGTTTCGTTGAAGGGTGGTGTTAAGTTGTAGTAGATTATCGCCGTTTGGTTTATTCGGGGAATTCGGTAGCTTCTTAGCCCTTGGACTTGGTGTTCAGGATAAGAGCGACGATGAGTCTACGCTGGTCAGCATCTATTCACCTGGCATCATCTATAACCATGTGACATACCCGTAAAGACCCAAGACTTCGCCGAAAATAAGAATGAGGACCATGCCGACGAAGATGCGTGATTGCTCCATGTACGAGCGCACGCCCTTGTCGCCGACGATACCAATCGTGTAACCAGCCGCAAGGCCAGTGAAGCCAACGGAGAGACCGCAGGCAAGGTGCATGAAACCGCTATTCTCGAGTCAGCATACAGGATTTTGTTGTAATCGTATGTTTTGTTGCTACTAACTTGAACAAACTGTAGTTGCTTCCAGCACCGGGAGGGACCAAATCTTGGGCGATGAGGACCGAGATAACCAAAGAGTAAACAGCAATGATACCGGACATGACGACGGGAATCAGACACTGCTGCAGTGTTAGCAGACGCTTTTCTACCGGGGTGTAATATTCTATTGGCATGCCTTCATAATGAGGTCGGGTCTGAAAGTTCCGACACCAGCAATACCGATTCCTGACTTGGCGGTACCATATGCGGCGCCGATGCCTGTCGAGGAGAGTCTGTTTAGTACATTGTCCATTTATCGTCGCGTCGGGTAAAAGCACAGCTATGCTTGCAGAGTGAACGTACATCCGAAAATCATGGCAGCCGCAATGCCGGCCTAGATTGAAGACATGTCAGCACAGGCTCGAAGGTAAATGCCGTAGCTGTCCGTAGCTTGCTGGAGTAACAGCTACTCGAGCAAGCAGAACGTCGGGGGGCGAGAGCTTACCATTCCGATGAACGGCGCGAACTTGGGGGCGAGGACAGAGTCTTCAGCCATGGTGGGCAAAATGGTGGTCGGACTCGATGCGGGGGGTGCGTGTTGATGGCCGACGGAGGGGGGAGGGATATGCGTGTCGAGGATCCCGCGATGTTGGCTTCCTGGATCCAGGACCTTGGAGCTTGGTGACGGTGACGAGGCCCAATCAGGACTGCACTGTGGACAGGCTGAGAAACCCGTGACTCGGCGCCATACCGGCCCGACACACCAGCCCCAGTTCAACGGTATTGTGGCTGGTGTTGCATCTGAAGACTGGAAGTGTGGCTGGGCGGGGTTGGCAGGAATGGAGACGGTGCTCGAGTGCGGCGCAGCGGCTGCAGCAGCGTTCTCCAGGTGGCCCGTGTCTGACGGGGGTCTGGAATCTCTGGTTTCCTCTTATCGATGCATACCTTAGCCTTATCGCGGCGCATCATCTGAGCAGCGGGTGGAATCCCTGGGCTTTTTGGCCAACTTTCACTTCCACCCCCTTCGACTGCAGGTCACAGCTCTATCTCATGTTTTTGGCGCATTTTGCGTTCTTCACTCACAGCCAAATGGGAGGGGCGGGACGTGCCTTGGCGTGATGAATACAATCAACCTTTTGTCGCGTCTCTTTAGCACTCGCAGGGAAGTGACTCTTCCGGTTGGACAAAGAGGGCAGGAGAGCTTCGAGGGACGTTGTTGATTCGAAGCCACCCCGAATGCCGACCGCAAAAAAGTCAAGCTGACCTCGAAACATGGGCGCATTGCAAACAAGAGACAGGCCGGGGGGCCTCGTTGTTGGCGTGCGGTTCTTGCATGAGGAAGCTCCATTTCTTCCCGGCAGTCACGCTGCCCACCTCACGCGGCGTTAAGACGGTCTCCAGTCTGGCCCCCCTGTTTCTAGCAAAGGTTCTTGAATAATGAAGAGTGCGCTATCACAAGTCAGACATTGTTATTCTTAGATTTTGACATCGCCAGACCGCATGTTAGAGGAATGCCCAGGCCAGGCGAATCGACGCCTTTTAATATTAGATGCAGAGAAGCAGGGCGCTGCGTCTAATTCACGGGCGGAAGGGAGACGATGGATCGGGCCAAGTCTCTCCCAAGTTCCAAGTCCACCTGTGCTGGCGTCTCGGTGGATCGTCCAGATTGCACGTTTTGGCGGTCGGCCGTCCTTTTTGACATTGACTGGTTTGATTGATCTACTGTCCTAGCACATTCGCGAGTTGTTGGCGTGCACCAGGCACGCCTCTTGCTCTCTCTGCGTGTATGTATTCCATACCGGATGGATCTGGGTAGCAGCAGCAGCAGCACCAACAGCAGCGAATGGAAAGGGATGGGCGCAAGTCGATCGCACAGCAGTTGTTGCCTTTGTAAGCGTGACCTTTTGTGGCACTTTCCTGGCCAAGCAAAAGAAGGGAAAAGAGAGAAACCCGCAGGCAGGATGCATCACTGTCCAACAGGCATACGCCGTCAGGTAGCATGACCGAAGGCAAGCAAGTAGGCAGGCAGAGAGTCAGGCCAGTATGTAGAACCTGGAATTACCTACTCCGTACCTAAGGCAAGATAGATGAAGAAAGTGAAAAAGGTACCTTACATGTGCACCTCCCGCAGGAGAAAACGGCGCATCCAAAAAAGTACTCGTCCCGACCCTGACTAAGGTAAGGCGCCCTCCACCGACGAATACTTACTGGAGAGTACGTACATAGTGAATGCTCTGGACACCAACAAGAGGTGGTTGGTCCCCTCCTAGCGGTATCCCGTCCATCTTCCATGCACCACCGTACCTATCCAGACGGTAGACCTTGGGCTGTCTGCCAGTTTTGGTGCCGTCCTATCAAACTATCCCCAGCTTTCGACGCCTGTCCCAACCAACCTGGAAGCAACCCCAGTCTCCAGTTCCCGACCCAGTTCTAGCCCAATGCCGATGACTTAGCACCAACGACGACCAGTGACCCAGCAGCACCCTCTTCCACCACTACCACCACCTCCTCCACCACGAACCACCACGGCCACCACCATCCTTCGACTTTTTGCCCGCAACATTTCCTAGCCGCCAGCAACAAGTTACTCAGCATTGCTATCGCCTGCCCGCAAGCACAACTGCGCTGCCTTACCTTACCCGACGCTCCTTTTCGCATCGTCTCGACATAAACAAAAGTTGCCAGATCTGCCGTGGCTCGGTTTCTTTTTCGTCGCCTTCCCTGTTTCCTTTCTTCTTCACCCCCCCCCCCCCCTTCGACAATCGCCCGGGTCAGGGCCGTGTGTCAAGTCATAGGCCCATAACGTCACCCGGCCCATCCTGGAAAGGGGACGCAGAACACCTAGAACGAAGGGGAAACGAATAGCAACCACCAAAAAAATCCTCCCCCACGCTGGCCACCGCCTCTCCGCCAAACTGACGACCGCCGCGTCGACATCTGCCTCTGATTTCGCCAATTGTGCCCTTTGAGCGGTTTGCGTGGTCCTGTGTCTCTTCGCCATAGTCGGCGGCCGTTGAGGCCTCACGTTGTTAGTACCACTCACTACACCTCTCTTTCCATCCTCTTGTACCACATTTTTCTCCACCTTGGCACACTCGCCATCTCTCCCCTTTAACCCAACCAACGACCAAAAGCTGATAAGGGCATTGTCGCCGACTTCCAGTTTCCTCCATCGAACCCATCATGTCCGACTACCGCGGCGACCCGAGGGGTCACTCGTCCAACTACCAGCGTGAAGCCGCCTACTCTAACATTTTCGGCGCCAATCCCCCGCCGGGACGTTCGCAGACAATGACCTCTTCTTCGATGCCTCCCCAGATGATGCCACAACAGCAGGGAGGAAGGACACAGACAATGTCATCTTCCATGTCGTCTATGCAGCGACAACCGCCCCCGAGGGTGCCTCCAGGCCAGTACATGGACCGCGACCCGGGCTCTCCGAGAGGTGCTCCTATGCAGCCAAATGGCTACCCGGCTCAACAACGCTCAGCGTCCGGCGGCTATCAAGTGCCCAACCCGCAAGCACAATACATGCAGCAACAACAGGCTCGCCGCCCTTACGGAGGACCTGCCGGGCCCATCCCCCAGCGTGATGGAAGGGGGCCGCCGCCGTCCCAAGGGCAGTACGGCCCACCAAGAACAGCAGCACAGCGATTTTACCAAGGAGCAGGAGGCGCGGCGCCAGCTATGAATAACGATTCATACCGCTCGCAGTCTCTTGCTTCCGCCCCGAGACCGAACATGTACCAGCCTTCCTCAAATGGATACGGCTCACAACCGAATCACCAGGCCCCGGCCAATGCTTTCCGCCATGCTCCGTACAATCCGAGCTCGTCTCGCACAACAGCACAAGGAAGGGTCGTTCCAGAACGCCAAGACGATCGAGCCATGTCAATGACTGGCTATCACCCGCAGGACCGCGATATGCACCAGTACCAGAATTCCCACCAGACTATGAGTGGCCGGGTCATTCCGAATAGAAGGGCGCCCGTGGAATTGCCGGCCACCAATGGAAGTTTCGGAGGAGGCTATACACCAGCGCCAGGGTCTCAGACCAGAACGATGAGCATGGCTTCTTCAATAACCGGTGACCCGAACAACCAGAGGACGATGTCGATGGCGTCTACGGTGGCACCAACGATCACGCCTTCAGAGAGCGACGCGACCCTGACGCATAGACCTTCTATGAGCAAGTCTATTGATGGTGAACGACCTCCAACTGGCAAAATTCGACCCCCCCTGGTTTATCCCGCACTGCTATCGCGAGTGGCCGACTGCTTCCGGCAAAAGATCATCACTGGCGACCGGACGAAGAACGAGCTTACGTATAAGAACGCCTTCAGTGGTGCCGAAGCTGTGGATGTCTTGTCGTACATTATTAGGACGACAGACAGGAATTTGGCGCTGCTGTTGGGACGAGCTCTGGATGCCCAAAAGTTCTTCCACGACGTCACCTACGAACATCGCTTGCGAGACTCCACGTCAGAAATGTACCAATTCCGAGAAACTCTGATGGAAGAAACGGAAGAGAGACCTGCGGTCGACGGTGTCTTTGTGCTCCTTTCCGAGTGTTACTCGCCGACTTGTACAAGAGATCAGCTCTGTTACTCCATTGCGTGCCCTCGCAGACTGGAGCAGGTATCTCGGCTGAACTTGAAGATCCAGCCTGGCCTGAAGAAGGAGTCTGAGAACGTCTCTAATGAAGATGATGTCGACCAAACCGATGAACAGAAGCTCTGGATCAACTCCGTTCCGAAGGAAGTGGCCGACAGCATCGGCGACAGGGAGAAGAAGAGGCAGGAAGTCATTTCAGAAATCTGCTACACCGAGAGAGACTTCGTGAAGGACTTGGAATATCTGCGCGACTTCTGGATTTTGCCTCTGCGCTCCAAGGCTTCTCCGATTCCTGCTAACAAGAGGGAGAAGGTTGTTAAGGCCATTTTCAGCAATATTGTCGATCACCCAAGTTTGCATGCTGTGAGCGCAAAATTCGCCAAGATGTTGACAGAGCGGCAACAGAAGAACCCGGTTGTTGGTGCTATTGGCGACATTTTCCTCGAGTGTGTACCTCAGTTCGAGCCATTTATTTGGTATGGTTCCAAGCAATTGGAGGCCAAGTTCGAATTTGAGAATGAACGATCCGCCAACCCCTACTTTGCCAAGTTTGTTGATGAGATTGAACGGCGAAAAGAGTCACGCAAGCTGGAACTCAATGGTTACCTCACCAAGCCGACGACTCGTTTGGCTCGTTACCCACTTTTGCTGGAAAACGTGCTCAAGTACACAGAGGACGGTAGCTCTGACAAGGAAGACATCCCCAAGGTGCTCAAGTTGATTCGCGACCTCTTGACGAGAGTCAACGCCGAGTCAGGAAAGGCCGAGAACAGATTCAACCTGAGGCGACTCCATGAGCAACTGCGCTTTCGGCCAAACGAGAGGGTGGATCTACGATTGACGGAGGAAGGCAGAGAGTTGGTATTCAAGAGTCAGTTGAAGAAGACACCGCAAGACGCGTCTGAGATCACTGCTTTTTTGTTCGACCACGCAGTCCTTCTG